TTGAAGACTTGGACACTTTAGAAATCTACACAAAGATGACTTAGAATGAAAAGTAGACTATACATCTCATGGTTAAAAAGGCATAGAGGTACTGAAAGTGTAAATGCAACAGTTAAGATGAATAACTCCCTCAGCGATTTCCTACTTACTATTAAACCCAGATATCAGATATGTGTGGGCCCAGTGTGCAGAGGGAAGCACCGCCATTACAGAACAAGCTGAGGGACACACTAAAGCACCACAAAAGTACCATTAAAAGCTTTTAAAAAGACTCAGCCATGCAGCTAGCAGAGTCAATATCACCATACGGTGCATTTGAGACTTTCCCATTTCCAAAAACAAAAGCTGATATTTTCATATGTTATGCTGTTAGAAATGGATGTTGGTCAAGCTCCCACACTTTTTATAAATTAATTGCAGGCAGACAAAGTACATGCAAACAGCTAAATGTATCCACCCTGTAATGGACACATTCAAAGTAGAGTAAATACATTGTAATTACATAGTGATTATAAAATGTACATTTTCAGAAAGCTAGACTCCCTTTCTTAACAATATATTTCAGTTAATGGAAAAAGTATTTGGATAATAATGAAATTATGGCAAACTATTTGTACCATGTCCACCCTGTCATGGAAGGCTTGCTGACAGGGTGGACATTTGTGGCTAATATTAGCATTTAATGAGCACATGGTGGACCTTCAGTTAGCAACATGATTCAGTTAGCAAGGTGACTGTGTACTGTTTAATAAATATATTTCGAATTTCTGAAAGGTTTTTATATTAATTGACATTTCACTATGACAGAGTGGACAACATCCAACTACACACATAATATGATTACAATTACGAAATATAAGTTTAAAAACTTACTTTGCAACTAGCCAAAGTCTCAGCCTCCATTGAGGAAAGACAAAATGGTGGTAGTAATGTCACTGAAAACATCAGAGGGTTTTTTATAGGGGCAGTTACCCCTTAATGACAGGGTGGACAGCAATGTCAGGGACACATGCAAAATGTTCAATATTATTATGAAAATAGAATATACATGATCAAAATGACTCGTTTTATCAAATAACTCGCTGTGGACAATACAACCATATAATTATTTAAAAAATGTAGTATAATTTAATCACTTATTACACACACTGTAGTTAGCAGAGCAGTGTGTGGGACATGCCAAAATCACGTAGGCCTACATCCAATGAAAAAATACGGTATACAATGAAGGAAATACATTTCAAGAGATTTATCATTGTACTGATATGTGTGTTAATGTTTGGCCTTTTATAATAAGACCTCAGAGTTTCATTATTCTGCTACATTTTCATGATAACTGAGTGATTCTGATGGGGACACCAAAGTTACTTTATAGTGATATTGACTCAGCAGCTCTTTGAGGCATTGTGCTGAGCTAAATGCTAACTTCAACACCTGCTAACATGCTATTGGTCAGAAAAATGTACCTGATGATAGCGCCAGATTAAAAGTCCCTCAAAAAGTGGTTGAGCTATTTCAGTATGGAAAAACGATGGATGACATTTCCATCCTCAGAGCCATGCTGCTAGCTGAAATGTTCACATGGAGGAATCAGTGTACTTTGGTTGTTTTCATCATGGTTCCTTCATTTGTCTGGTGTCAGTTTTGTAACCAACTCTTTATTTCTCACATGTTTCAGGTTGTTTTTCGCCTTCATGGAAAGGGAAAAAGTGTTCCTGCATTCCAGTTGAGGTCAGATACCCCACCAGCGCTGAATGTTATTAGTGAAAGCAGTCATATTGCCATGGACATAATAAAAGATCCCCCTGATTCAGAGTCTGCACGGACACTGCCTCCTCCCACAGATGCCTCAGGCTGCAATTTTCAAGCTTTCTTACTGGAGAAATCCAAGAGCTGGGCACCCACCACCATTGTTCAAGGGCAGAAAATGCTGACAAAGAGATACTGTGCTGCTGCAACTGTGATTATCTCCTGCGGGTTTAAAGAGGGTGAAATAAGATCAACAGTGAACATCAAGAAAATGTCCAAAGAACAGTTTGCACAACTAGAAATAAGACGAAAGGAGAGCACACAGCGAGGGATGGACATTAAAGTTCTCAGGAAGCATGGTGGACAAGTCAGTCAACATGAAGTCTTTCAAGCTGCTACTTTGCAATCTTCAAAGAAAGCCTCAGTTATATCGCAGTTAGAGATAAAGAGAAATTCAGACAGAATGATAAAGACAATTGAACCTTTCAACTTGCAAAAAAGTGCTGAGAAGCAACACCCTTTGAAAACGGCATCTAGTGGATGTGATGGTGATTGGTTTTATGTTGAGAGGCAACTACTGTTGGTATCCAAGGAGAAGAAACAATCCACAAATAAACCACGGAGCCAGATAAAGGCTGGTGATAATGAAGAGGATTTCAATGGGAAGATAAAAACAAAACAAGCAGACTTTCAACACCCAGACGGAGAAAGGGAAACAGAACCAGACATCCTGTTATCTGCACATAAATCCGATAATAATAATGATGTTGATCACAAACAAATGCTTGCAGAGGCGGAAGTCCTAATTGTGTTACTTCTTCCAGACACAGAGAGAAAGACACAAACAGAGCCATCATCGGGAAAAAAAAGTATTCTGAACACTGGGTGGAAAACAGTACAAATAAAGGATCTGGATGACCCCCCGCCCGCGACTGAAGTTATAAAGGAGAACTTTATGATTGAACCAGAGTGCTTGAAAGGAAGCCTGTTTTCATTAGAAATGTATGAGTTTGATAGAACAGAGAGAATAGATTTAAAACCAGCAGAAAGTACAGCTACAGTGTCTGTATATACTGAGAAACAGACCAAAGACACAGAAGGGAAAATAGGACACACAGAGACACCTCATGAAAATATGGGCATAAATCATACTAAACAATCAGAAGAACCAGTCATACCTTCACCTCCCTCACGCAAAATGACAGAAAGAGTAACTGCAGTAACAGAGCATATGGAGACAGTTACAGCCAACACAGAGATAAAACAGACAACATCAAGTACAGAAGTCTTCAATCAAGGCAGCACACAGAAATCAGACATACTGCCAAGCTCAGAGACCCGGAGGACAACAACGAGTCCAGAAACCCACACTCAGCCCAGATTTATCAAATGTATGACAAGGAATATGCAAGTAACATCTGTAAAGTCCTTCTCAGGCCTCAGAATGAGAGAGGACATCCTAGCAGACATCAACAAACTCCATGACAGCTCAGGGGCTGAAGCAACTACAAACAGGCCAGAACCTGAAGATGTCCAAAATGATCCAAAAGTGGACTCATTTGGGAAACCTTTACAAACAATCCACAAACAACCTACAGACACAATTCCAAAAGTAAGTGAAGTTGCATTAGTAGATTTCTATAAAGGAAAACTGTATTGAGTGAGAATTGATAGCAGTCTCAAAGCTGTCCTCCTGTTGTGAAGCTACAGCTAGCTTAGCACAAACAGTGGAACTAGCCGGAAACAGCTAGCCTAGCTCAATCCAAAACCTTTTTGCTAAGCTAAGCTAATCGTCTGCCATCTGGAGCCTAACATTTAAAGGACAGACATACAAGGGGCATTCATCTATTCCTTTAACCCTTGGCCACAAAGCAAATAATCTTATTTCTCAATATGTTGAACTTTAAAAAGAGATAGTGTTACAATAGTAACATAGGAATAAATTACACCCAACTATGCATAATACAATAGGAAGGGGAATGCTGCAAGGATAATCACATTTTCTGAGGGAAATAGGCATAATATTGGATATACTTTTTAAAACCCATTTGTATGTTAGAGAGCAAAATAGGTGCATTGATTATAATCTACCACTTAAAAAAAATAAAAGTTATAATTCTTATTTACTATAAAAAAAAAGACTTTTGATAAAAATAATGTGCCATAATCATGTTTTACTTTTTTGGTCACATTTCTCTGCATGCACTGATGCAAAGTTTTCCTCCACAGACTACAGATGTGCCGTCGTGCAGAGGTTTAATACAACGCACTGAAGCTGGGAGAAAACACTGCGAGCAAAGATCCATTAGAAGGGGATGGAAAATTCCTTCCTCAGAGGAACCCATGGCTGCATTTAGGCATGCAGGACTGCAGGAGAAAGACCCTACATCGATCAGAGACCACAGAGACACTCTTCTTAATGATGACGAATATGATCATTTCTATTATTTTGATGGAGTACTGAGAAGAGTTCCAAATGATTACAAAAGACAAAGACGGAGGAAAATGAGCTCTGATAACACGGAGAGTAATGATTTGACAGTGAGAAACAAAGGACTCACTCGTGAGAATCTCATCAGTTATGTCAAACGCCTTGCTTTGAGGAATAAGGCCAGTCACATCAAATGATCAGACACTGAATATGATAGGGGTAGTGGTGGTCTAATGGATAGTGAGGTGGGCTGAAGATCGGAAGGTTGTGAGTTCAAATCCCGCCAGGGACACCACCACTAGTGTGCCCTTGAGTAAGGCACTTAGCCCTTAGTTACTCCAGGGAGAATGTCCCTGTAATTGTAAGTCGCTTTGGATAAAAGCGTCAGCTAAATGCAATGTAATATAATATCACGTGCAGAGGAGATAAAATACACTAGAGGAGGACAAATACACTGAAATGCAGGATACAGAAATACAGCACTAACAAAGCTGATATCTGAAAAGGAATGACTGGGTGAAAATCCGGCTACACTTTGATATTATCGTTAATTACACACATACACAGTCCGACTCTCTAAGAAATGTTTTTGTATATTGATAATTTGTTTTGCCAAATAAGCTTTGCTTCCTTCTGTAACTGCACCTAATGTAAAACATAATTTCAGGGTTGCACAGGCTTACATTCATACAGAAAACACACTTTTGGCCAGGTCAGCTGGATACATTTATATATTTCTCTGTTGCTAATAGGGTTACGCAATTGATCTTGTGTGACAAACATGAACACAGAAGTAATTTCAAACAGTTCAGAGACACTCATCTGTACAAAACATTTATTTGAAATTGACATAAAAACAGCTTTGATGTATTTGCATAATTTATATCTGAAATTCATGACAAGCAAACAATAACTAAGGGAGAAATCTTAATGGCAACGTTGGACAGAATGTTTTTACACAAGTCAAAGGAAGTTAATTGAACAGCTTAGGACTTAGCAATGGAATATGTTAAATTCAAATCACAGAAATTATTTCAAAGAAAGAAAGACATGAAGTGCCACAGAGAGAACAGAAGACGCACTGAAGCCTATCCACTGCTACGCTCCTTCAGGAAGGCTGAGAGGAATTTGAAAAGAGAACTGTGGGAGAAGTCAGAGGGTGTGTACTGTAGGATCCCTAGAAATTGATGCTGGCTGTATTTTCATTGTCTGTCAATAGATGGCAGTGCCAGCACTGTAGCATCATTCTTCAGAAATAATATATAACTCTGTAACTTTTTCCTTTATACATGAGAGACTGCAGAAAACCGGGCAAAATCTACTTTAAAATGTCACCATTTCAACAGCCAACTACTCTGCTGGTGTTCTATATTCATTTTGGTTTGTTAATGAAGCTGAATATATACACATATACACTTTGTGAGGCTTCAATGCTCTCTGGGCATTTGTATGTACAAGTGACAGAATAAGGAAAATGCATTTGAGCTTTTTAAATCCAGAGGAACTTTCCTTCATTTAGTGTGACTCTAACCAAGACTAAACCACCATGTGTCACCGCAGACATTTACAGAGGGACTATTTGTTCAGCCGGATTACGACTCAACAGGTCAATCATCGTATTCAAAGATAGCAACTCAACTCTAATTTGAAATGACACGTTGTGCATTAAGCATCATGAAAGCTTCCACACTGCTGAACGTGGTGTCTTGTGAAGAAATGCACATGTAACATTGACAGTGTGCACCAGAGTATTTACCCTGAACACGGTAAAGCAGAAACACACTTTAACTAAACAAAACAAGTTTAAAACACAACTTGAACATGTTTGATGTCAGTCATTTTACCCTGAAGTTAAAACATTATCACAACACGGACGCAGTGCATGCTCCAAGGTTGTTTGTTTTTTACAATGGTATAAATAATGAAATGTAATTATTATTCATAAGAATAAATATGTCAATAAATAAAATGACCTTTGAAGTTCTCCAAGTTACATGGAGACATTATGGAAACACTAAACTAAACTATTGAAAGCTGTTCAGACGGAAACAGCTTGTGAAATGTCTTCTACGATGTCGTGTGTGTGCTAACACGGAACATATAAAAGATCTCACGGTAAAGATTGAAAACATTTCTCCAACGTGACTCGGTTGTCTAAAATCTATGAAACCACTTCGCTCTTTTAACAGAATGAAATCTTGATAACTAAATACATTTAGATTATCGGATGGCACTGAAGAGGTAAAAGGTATGATTAGTAAGGCTGCAAATTGACCATCATAACAACAGTTTCCTAACTCAGGAAAATGATCATGATCTGGTAACATCTAACCCTAAATCTATAAAACTAAAGCATGATGGTAGTTTTAAATCCTACATGTGCCAGAGGTCAGTGCATCAGAGAGGCACAGTATTAGCGACATAGCTAATGCCACTGCTACAAACCAGTGTATATCCTTGTCTCCAGGTGATCTGAGAGACACACGCCCAGAAACGTATGAGCGTTCAGTTTTTTTACGCATGTTGCTTCATTAGAGCCTAAAACATGCAGCCAATTTCTGCCTGTGGAAGCTGACACCTTCATGTTAGTCTGCTCTTTTGTTTAATTTGACCACAACACATATTCTTCATTTTTCGTTATCACACCTCCGCATTTGGCAAGTAGTCAACATCTTCAGAGCTCTGATAAATACGGCCCGACCTTCCCCGTTTTGTGTTTTTCTTTTTAAAAACTACTGGCTTCTGAATACATGGCCGGTCAGCCACAAAGAGGTAAGCCTGTTCGTGAGACACAATGTCCAGTGACAAGGTCTATGTGCTTTTTTAGTTTTTCTTGGATTAAGTACTTTGTGTTTACTTCATCTGCAGAGCCCGGCCCCTCAGGCTCAGGGGGTATCTGCGTGTCTGTAGTAGCCCCTCCTCAGGGCGGCGGAGGCGATGCTCTCAGCGGAGCGCCGCTGGTCCATGCTCAGCAGAGCCTCCAGCAGGTCGTTGATGTCCGCCTTTAGTCCCTGCCTCTGCATCCAGTTCTTCAGCAGTTCATACACTTTGTCCACGGGGGCTCCGTTCTCCGAAATCCGAATGTGGTTGTCGCTGACTCCGATCATTCTGAAGAACTTGTTATGAATCCGCACATCCAGGTACTCGTCGAACAAATCAAAGCTCTTCTTCAGGGATTTCTCCGACCCTATAGATAACAGATCGTGAGGCAGGATGTTAGCTGCTTACACAGAAACTCTTGAAATGTTTACATTGTATTTTCTACTTGTTTGAGTTCTCTTACAATAGACGTATACATCATTGTTGACACTAACTCACACAGCAATTTCTACAATGACACAGTGTTAACATTGTTCCTATACGAGAACAATCAGGACGTTTGAGTTCATTTTCCTTAGGGGGATGCATACATGAAGTGTTTAATGGAGGATCAAACACATCTGTTCAGCTATGTCCTTCTTTAATTCAGCATGAGAAGAAGGAACAGCAGAAGAGGGACGGCATGTTCCAACCCTCGGAAGGCTCGGATGCGGCCTGACTGTCATGAGATTATTAATCTATCCAGCAGAAAAAATGTGGGATCTTGAAGAGATCCTGTTTATTTCACTTCCTTCAGGAATGACAAGAAGTGTAAAATAAACGGTGCAGCTGAGTACAGCTGCCTCTTAAGTTGAGTTGTACCAACATGTTTAGAGGGGAAATCTCTCTTTCCTATTATAAGAATCTTATCTCTTACCTAATAGTGGCACCAAGCGTTGTTGCAGAGGATCATCCTAAAAAATAAAACACAAAAATCAGAACCAGAAGAACCAGGGACTCATCAACAATCTGGAACCCTTTCATCCCACCGGGGAAATGTACAGATAAAGAGAACAATAAAACAGTAAGAAATAAATAGGCAACCACATGTTAAACAACCAAAAGTCAAATAAGTATACACTCAACATAGAAAATAGATAAGCAGCAGTAATATAAAAAACTAAGCAGAAGATAAACATTTATGAATTACAATTTAGAATTAAACACAAATTATTTGAGATTGGTCTAATGACTTAAAGACGCCTCCATTGGACTCCTTTGTTTACTTCCGGAACATAGTGACATCACTACATAACACTTGTGCTTCTATTGGCTAGCGCTCCAACACATTACACCTGATAGGCTAAGGGCCGGGACATCTCTTAGCGGCCGGTCAACTAACCAATCAGAGCAGACTGGGCTCTGGTTTCAGACAGAGGGTGAAAAGAGGTGCTGCAGCACAGGCAGTATGAGAAGAATAAAGAGCTTTGTGAACATTAAAGCATGGAGACATGTCCCAGTAGAGACACTACATACTGATATACACCTGAACATCAGCAGGAGAGGACTCTTTAAAGTAGATACACTACATACTGATATACACCTGAACATCAGCAGGAGAGGACTCTTTAAAGTAGAGACACTACATACTGATATACACCTGAACATCAGCAGGAGAGGACTCTTTAAAGTAGAGACACTACATACTGATATACACCTGAACATCAGCAGGAGAGGACTCTTTAAAGTAGAGACACTACATACTGATATACACCTGAACATCAGCAGGAGAGGACTCTTTAAAGTAGAGACACGACATACTGATATACACCTGAACATCAGCAGGAGAGGACTCTTTAAAGTAGAGACACTACATACTGATATACACCTGAACATCAGCAGGAGAGGACTCTTTAAAGTAGAGACACTACATACTGATATACACCTGAACATCAGCAGGAGAGGACTCTTTAAAGTAGAGACACTACATAGTGATATACACCTGATCATCAGCAGGAGAGGACTCTTTAAAGTAGAGACACTACATACTGATATAGACCTGAACATCAGCAGGAGAGGACTCTTTAAAGTAGAGACACTACATACTGATATACACCTGAACATCAGCAGGAGAGGACTCTTTAAAGTAGAGACACTACATACTGATATACACCTGAACATCAGCAGGAGAGGACTCTTTAAAGTAGAGACACTACATACTGATATACACCTGAACATCAGCAGGAGAGGACTCTTTAAAGTAGAGACACTACATACTGATATGATCCTGAAGATGAGCACAATATGTCCTCTTTAACATTTATTTTTCGCCCTCACCATGTCTGCAGGGGGCGTCCTGATGGCAGTGGGGGTCTGGTGGGGGGTGTTCCCAGAGGAGGCTGCTGTGGGCATGGCTGACAGGCTGGTCTGAGAGGAGCTGGTGGTGTTTGGTAAACTGTCTCCCAGCCCCCGATCCTCATCCTCCAGGGGAGGGGAGGCTTTGGTCATCCCGGCCTGGGTCTCCTGCAGCAGGGGCCGCGACTCGGGGCGGGGCTCCTCCCCCTCCAGACCGGCGTTCTGATCGTTCTGTCTCTCCTCCGCCGTGGCTCCACTCTCGTCCTGCACAGGGAAAAGATGACACATTGTATCACAAATAACTTCAGATAGACCTTTATTGGTTTCTGTGGGGAAATGCAGGCGCCATGGCAGCAACAGAATAAAGAAGCATTATTGGAATGAAAAAAAGGGTAAACATGTAAGTAAAAGTGTGAATACAAATAACAATAAGATACAGTAAACTAATTAGTAGCGAATTTGCATATACACAGATCAGGATCAGAATACCTTTGAACTTCCCACAGTGGGGACATTTTGATTGTTACAACAAAAAGAGCCACAGATAGCTTAATATGATTAAGAAGCATGCTTCAAATATGAAAGATAAAAGATATATAATAAGTCATAAAACACGAGTAAAGATAAGTATGAATGAATATGAAAAAATGAATACACGTATGCAGTATATCTATGTGCAGGTGTAAGTCTTATGAACATACAGTGCCTTTATTGTGATCCGTAATATACATGATCTATCTTTATTGGAACAGCTTACACACAGAAGAGACGCATTTAAAAAAGGTTGACATTATAAGAGGAAACAAACCAGAGCCAAAGAATAACTTACAATAGGAATCTTCACTATTTCACTGGAATCACAGTGGCTCTTTAAACCTGTTTAAAGAGGACACACAGCATTAGTACTTCTTCAATAAGCAAACAGGTGACAGCAAAGGTCACAGCACACAATGTCTAAACTCACATGGTGTTTCACAGGAACGCCTCTTGAGCCACCACACAGCCAGTGCCATAATGATGAAGAGGATGGCCAGGGAAATGCACACAGGAGTAACTGGAGAACAAAACAGAAATGAATAAGTGAAGATGAAGAATTAGGTTTAAAAGACCAGGTTAGGCTTAAGGCTTAACATGAAAATAGTCATACCAATGTCTGCTGAAGAAGCGGGTGTTGGTGAAGGGGGGGCTGGAGTTTTTTCAGTAGGGGACGGATCCCGTTTTCGGCACTCTGTGTTAGAAAACGGGGTGCACTTCTTCACCTCCTCCTCCCCAGGTTTACACCTGTAAATGAGTAAAAAGACGTATTGGCAGTTGTGGTAAAACATTAAAAAAACATGACCTTTTAAGCTTGGATTTGTATTTGATTGCAAGATGAATTGAATTAACTAAGTGTTTAAGATTTAAAACTGAACAATGCAGTACGTCCTAAAGAGTCATCCTAATCTCCTATTAATAGCTTAAACATTGAGTTAAATTGATACACTAGAAGAGTAGAACTGAGAGAAGTAAATGAGACTTACCTGGCACAACGTTTGCAGACTTCGCAGGCCTGATCGGGCACACAGAAGGTTCCGGATTTACACTGGCAGCGGGTGTCTGTGGTGGTGCTGCAGGAGGCCGTTACAATCTCATCTGAGGAGAGGGAAGAGGCCAGAGAGATGAAGACATGGCGGATAAGGGTGTGACATATCATGACACAAATTAATTTCAATTAAACAGATGATATGTATACAGAAATAAACCCAAGTACAAACTTCTTACTCATTAAATAACTTCTTTACACAGGTGGTGGAGGTACAGAGTAAAGGTAGAAGTACTATGATTAAAATACACCATTCAAAGTAAAAGTCCTGTATTCAAAACTACTAAGGGATGTTCAGGAGTATAATCAGCTAAATGTACTTAAAGTACTAAAAGTACTCCGCATGCAAAAATTCACATAAGAGCATTTTTACGTTGTAGTTTGTCATCACAGAGCCAATTTTAGTTTAATTTACTTTTTTGGTTGTATATATATATATTATTAGTACTGTACTGCATCATATCATATAAGCATATAACATATTTTTATAGGTAAAACTGAACTATGAGTTTTAAATGTATTATTAAGTATCCTGGAAATAGTCAAGTCAAATTCAACTACTATTCTGTAGTAAATAGGTTGAGTAAATGTACTTAATTAAATTCCACCAGTGCATATTTAACAGCACATTAAATACACATACAAAAGCAATATGATATGATGAATGTAAACATACAGTATCTTGGGTTATAGAAATCCTTTCAAAAAGCAGTGGAGTTTGCAATCCAAGATCTAACTCTGTTAAGCCTCTACAGAGTTGTATAAGTACATTCATAATAGACATGTGACCATTGGCATGCGGAGAATACTTGTGTGCCTGAAGCAATTATGTAGTCATTCTTTACCACAAAAAAGAAAAGTTAGACAATTGGATTTTCAATGAAGTCTTCCTCTGAGATACAATTGACCTTATTTTAAGAGGATAATAAGGAATGTAGAATATGGCATTCATTTATTAAATTAAGAGCATAAAAGACAGTAACTCTAGCCTTTCAGATATGATCAAAATCAAAAACCACCTACACAGGATGAGCTTTACAGACTCTTATTATCTTGTTTTGTTTTCACCTAAGTCTTTAAAGAACTTTGCTGAGTACTTTTCTAGATAATCATATTTAGCACTTTATGACCCCGTTCACCATTCGTCATTTTTTCCACAGCTGACATTTTTCCCTGGATACAAAGTCCATAGTCATCTCCACTTTGCCACCTTCATAAGGAAATGAATAAGGAGTGTCAGCAGCGCTCTGTTTCTGAGCTGAGAACATGTGTATTTGATTGGGGGAGCTCTGTCTACACATGTTAGACTAAGTATTTCATGTTCCCATCCAGCAAGAGTAAAGAGAGTAATAAGAGTAAAGCGGTTGTCTACTCTTCTTAATTCTTAGCATCTGTCCTGTCATTAATTATGAGCGACTATCAGTGCAATGCTCACCTAAATGTAGCTGGGTAGAACAGGCCTGTAGATATAACAGCTGCTATGCTATGTAATACGATATATGGAATGACTTGATGGCTCACAGAAACAACTTGGATTGAATGAATATAAACACATTTACAGAGCAGGGACTTGTGTGTTGTATAGAAGTGTGCTTAATTCCCCTTTTTGGTCCAAATGATGTCCAAAGTACTGACATAGCTATCTCAAAGTGTGTTCTTTAGGTACAATGAATTGGTACTCCTCCTGATCTCCTGTCAGTATTTTAGTTTTTTGGGCTGGCTAGTGTCGGCACTCACTGTTTACACCAACAAAGACGCTGCTATGAAGTTTCCCAGACTACTCCTTTAGTGCTTCCGCTGCCAAGTTATGGAGACAGTCGATTTGATTGTCCTCATTTTAATGGTTAAATCATAGAACACAAATTTACTGAATATTTTTCCAATATAAAACTATTTCTTTTGGGAACGTTTTGTTCCTTTCTAACGACGGCGGCGCGTGGACTCTGAGGGACAATCTCGTAAATTGCATGGCTGTTAAACTCTAAACCCTGTAGCAAACTATCATCTCTCAGTGATTGTAGAACACATACATATTTGAAAATAACTGTGAAAATATGTCACAAATAAACATTTTGAAATGTGTTTATACTTAAAAAATGTTGAAGTTTCTCACAATGATGCCTTTGATAAAAAAAATAATGTCTCGCTGCAAGAAAAAGGGCGTATAATTTGTACGAAGACTTAAATAGTAGTTAAACAAAGCTGACGTGTGGATGATATTGTTGAGTGACTAAATCTGCTCATTCGGTCACATTTGTTTGCCATTTAGTTAATTACATCAAGCTAGAAATAAAGTTATATAAATGTGTGTTGAGTTTCAATGCCAGAGGAGCGATTTCACACACCGTTCACACCGTAGCACTTTCTGCTTCCTTGTACTAAAAAAAGCTCATTTCACATTGGCCATGTCTCCATTCTGTGTAGAGCCTGTTGTACTGATGCACAGAGACACTGCTATTGTGGCTCACTGAAGGGAAACATCATGTTTTTCAGTCTTGTCACATAATTATGCGTAGAGATAATTGGGAAGTAACACATGCAGAGGGTAGGCGGTTTATCTTTGGCTTCATTGAGCAAAAAATGGAGATTAAAATACCAGCATAATTGTGATTCAAGTGGTTCCCCTGGGTCTGGAAAGGGTCAAACAAAAAGGCCAGAACTTAAAAATATAACCCTAGTCCCAAAGCTCTCTTCTTGTTGTCCTAAGCCCCCACCCATACAGTAACCTGTAGGAGTTTATTAATTATTTAACTTTCATCACTTGAATAAAAATACTAAAATATTAAACATTATTTTGGCAAAAAAGAAACTGGGTACCCCAATTCAAAAGCTAAAAAAAGTTCAGATAAAAAAAACTGTTTAAAACATCTTGACTTCAACATAAAATGCTGAAATATGAAACATTATCTTTGCTAAAAACCATCTGCAAGTCAAATAATAAAAACAAAATCCCCGTTTGAATTAGAAAATATTCAGCATCATTCAAAAAACAAACCCAGAAAACCACACAGAACTGGCAGCTGGTGTTTTGAGGCACACTATTATTTCTTGATTATGCTATTCTTATTCAATTGGCAGGTGCTTTGTGTGCGTCTGTGTGTAGGGGGGGGGGGGAGGGGGAGGCTCAAAATCAGAGTCAAGTGTCGGTTCAGCCCATCCCGATTAGGAAAAGCTTTTTCTCTGTACTCTGTGTTTAATCTAAGTAGTTCATCGAGTCTACCTAATTGGAATGAAAGCTTTGATGAATAACACCATGTTCAGAATAAAAACCAACATTGATTATAAAGCTTTGTTTTAGAGATACAACATGCTAAACTATGGCTTAGAATGTGAAGAAAGCAAAGTTACAATTAGCATAACATAAGCATAGCACATGTTATTAATTCAAACCACTGCAGCCTTGTTAATGCATGTTTTCCCCCCCAACAGGAGTGCCAGAGCAAGGTCAAATCTAAAATGTATTTTAATCCCCTTTGCCACGTTACCATTAATTATAACATTGTTGTAAATAAGTTAAAACTGGAGCGAAACACAAAAAGCTCTATCTTAAAAGCCATGGAAAGAGCACACAAGACATCCTATGTAACAGTAGTCTCTTTTCTGTGGCTCCGTCCTTTCATTGGACACAAAGACGCACAGTGAGGGAGACAATGAGACGCAGCCACACCCAGTTCAGCCAGGCTAGGACAGACACAAGCAAACCTCCAGAGACAGGTAACATGGCCACATTCAGCCCCGAAACAAAACAACAGAGACACGCCCTGCTGCTCGGTAACATCACAAGATCACATTTTCACGAGTGGATCTGAAGGCGGGGGCGCAGACAAAAAGGTATCAACTTTCCCCAACAATAAATCTTTGAAAAACGGCATAAAGGCAGGGTTATAGGAATGAAAGGGCAAGTCAGTTTTGTGTAATTTAATTTATAATGATCTTTTATTTGTTAAGTTAAGTCATTTTCTTGAAAAAAAAAAAGCTTTATATTGTAGTTGGTTTCATGTTTTGCCAAGTTTTGAGTTGTTTTTCAGACAAACAAACACATCTGAAAACAACAACTACGCCTCTTAGGAACTTGTATTTGGACCCCTTTTTTATATTAGCTAAAGGTTTTTGGGATCAAACAATCAATAAAAAAATAATTTCCATTTATTGGATGAATAAAATATGTGAGTTGCTGCCCTATTTATGTTTGAATTGGTGGAATGTTTGATCCAATGGATTTGATTGTACGGTTGCATATCCAAATCTTGGTACATTTGAAATAAAAAGCTCAGAGTGTAAAAGAAAGAAAGAAAACGTGAAAATGAAATCTGTGATGTCATTTCTAACTCGTGCATCATACTGATAGTATGGGCTTCATGTGGGGGGGCAGAGGGTGGTCACCTGAGCGGCAGTGGGTGCAGGGCAGGCAGCGGTTCATCCCGTTGGAGTGCTCCGTGTACGTCTGTCCGTGCTCACAGGACACACACGTTCCCTGCTCCTGCTCTCTTTCACACACCTTCTGCACAAAGGTTCCTGCAAATAATAAAAAACAACCAAAAAATCATCTGATTAATAAACCCAAAGTACAAGCAATTAAAGTCCAGTGAATCTTGTTTTTTGTATTGTGACGTGACAGAATCAGGCTGGCTTTGAGCTTTTGGCAGAAGCTTTTGGGGATATGAAAGCTCATAAAACAGATACCAATGTGGCATTCTGGTTTTCCGACATGAACTCATGTTTGCCAAGTTGTAATGTCTTGTGTTTTTTATATTCTGGATATTTGGTTGTGTTTCTTCTGTTTTGTAATAATGACAAATGCATTTGTAACGCAATCCACATTTACTTCCAGCTTTACTGCAGCCGTGTATAAATGACTTGCACTCAAATACAAATGATTACATTATGTTGATTTGATATCCGCATGTCATGGGGATTAAAAGAAGAAGAGAATGACACAGTGATCTCCCCCTGTGGTCACTTGTCATGCTTTAAATTCTAATACTCAGTTCATGTATCCCGTGAAGAAAACCACTCGATTGTCATGTGATTTGAGGGTTTATCTGATGCACCAATGGAACACAGACACAGTAGTATTGGGTTGAATTTATGAAGTTACTGTGGATGGTAAAGGTGTTTCCCAGTTAAGTGTGTACAATCTTTTAATGTTGTGGTAATCAGAAGAATGCAAGACAAAAGAATCACAATACTTCGAAAAATCGTCAAACCCAAGAGAATCAAAATGTCCTACAGGTTACAACCAAGCAGTGATGCTCTGTTTTATCAGTTCATATCTAGAAATGATCTCTCACCCATGAATGACAACACTTCTATTTCTTTGTACAAACTGATGATTTTCTAAAGGCGTCATTTCTATTGTTGCCTTAGATTTCAGAAATGAGAAAGCAACAAATGTGTAGGCCCAAAGGTCTGCTCAGTTAAACGGATCAAAAAACACATGATCAAAGTAACCTTAAGTCAATCAATATTTGGGGATTTGATGAATGGGCATGTGATTTGGAAATAAAGCACTAGTTTATAAAGTGACTGTGAACCCAAACTAATGCCAGAGTTGATCAAATACAATTATTGCTTAGAAATCAGATTTGCAAATGAAATAACTCAATCAGCTAGAAATGTCATGCCGCAATTACATCTTAGCTAAATATGTGCGTACATTTAGCAAATTCTTTACAAAAACAAGTCATATGGCCTGTAGCTTAACATATTGTGACTTCAAAGTAACCTCCCCTGCATCATTTCCACTTTCCCCTTCACTTCGGTTGGAGTAGTTCCTCGCCATCATGCATTCTTTCCAGACCATGCAGTGGATATTTGCAAAACTCATTTGGTATACAGTTCAGGTTTTGACATTTGACTTTTTCACACAAAATGCCATTTAAATGTTAGCTCTAGCGCGCTCTCAGTTCTTGACTGGCAGTTGGTGTGTGATGATACAGGAAACAATAAAAACATGTTGATCAAAGGGAGTTTAAAGTTGAAATGTTGCAGCCGGCGTACTTATACAGGCCCAGCATTCCACATGTGTTTAGTTGCATGTAACTGGAGCTGCACTGTCTACTGTATATCCCTCTAACGTGGTCTCCTTACCAGCCTGGCAGTTGAGGCAGCAGAGTCCCTGCTGGAGGTACTGCTCGTTCTCCACACATGTTCTGTGCCGTCGGAGGGTGAGGTTTTTGTAATCATCGCCGGACCACTGAGCGGCTGGAGGTTCTGCTGCGTGACAAACCAGCCCGACGAGGAGCGCTGCCACACACACCTGAAACATCAGTGAGAAAAAGAGGGGAACAAAAAGACTGTGCATTAGTTGTGTGTAACCACTATACACCCACTGAAACACGTTACATGAAGGACAGTAAGCAGGAGAGTTCTTCTTCATAGGGAGCCTTGTGTGAGCAATCTACAAGTTAATTCGAACCATCTGATCTGAACATCTGCCGTGGGAAAGCAATTACGGGAGCAGAGCAGCTGGTCAGAAGTGGAGGCAAAACATCCGTGATACAGAGCTATACACTGACTGCACGCAGCGCAACAGGCGACCCTAACCAAATTATTCTATTATATTTTTTTAAGTAGGACGCATTTAAAAAGCAGAGGCTCTAAACAGTTGGTGTAACAGAAAGGGAGTCGATAAGGAATCTCAGCGAACACCAGCTTGGTGCCCGTATCAAATGTGATACCAAAAATCTATTCATGCGCTAGATAATAACAGGCTTGTATAGGTGGGGTAGGGAGAAGAATACGGCCGAACACTTTAGTGTGGCCCCCAGGCGCTGGTGTTTATTCACACGCTTTTCACCATGTCAATGTGAGAAGGCCCCATTCATTGGCAAACAACACACTTTAGTGCCTCTACTTCAAATGACCCACATTCTCAAACCCCGGCTCTTTGAATGCCACGACATGTGACACCGCCGTGAAGCGCCTCCAACGCAACGCGACACCTCCTGGGTAAATGAGAGGCCTAGATTTGGAGGTTTTGTCTCTCCTGTGCGTCACCCCCCTTCCCATCTACCCCTCCACCAGAAAGGAACAGGTTAGGGTGGAGGGGGCAAGGTAGAGAGGGAGAAAGAGAAGGATGGATTCAAAGTGAGAAACTGTAGACAGCTAGCTGAAGATGTTCTGCAGGGAATAGGTTGTCTCAAAAAGACAGTGTGGGAGAATGGGAGGAATAAAGACTGAGAACAGATAAACAGAGGTGGGGAAAGAGTGGAGAGCGACTCCTGACACTAGACTTGGCTCTCTGGAGGGCCGCCATGCCTTGTTGTTCAAAAGAACTTTCCCCTCTCCCCCTCTCCCTGCCTTCTTCCTCTCCCTGCGCTCACGTCAGACTTTCCAAAGACGCTGAGAGCGAGACGTGGAGGGGCAGGCGGCCGGCAGAGCAGTCACAATCACACCATTTAGATCTATCCAAACATTCTGGGGAGGGGGAGACAGAAGAGAGAAGGAAAAGGGGAGGCAGATAAAATGAGAGGGGAGGACTAACAGCTTGCATGACACAGGGCAAGTATTTAGACTTGAATACACTATGTGTCTGACTGCGGGGTGGGGGAATGTAAAGAGACATGGACTTGGAGAAAGAGTAAGTGGAAGGCCGTGTGAAAAGGCAAGAGAGAAAGAGCTGTGTATGAGCACATGACAACAGTGGAAAGAAAAGATGGGGAAAGAATGAGCTGCTCTTAAGGTAACCCTACACTTCTACAAAGCACAAGCAGAATATGACGATGCACTGGATGTCCAATAATGTAATAATATAGCAGTTAGAAGGTAATAATCCCTATTGCCAATCAAAAACTCAACATAAAACTCAGGTGTGTATGACGGGGAAGATTCATAGACAGCGTAGAGATGACATCATTTCAATTCTTTGTTCATTCCAGGGCGGTGATTCAAAACAGTCCCAGGTGCAGCCGCCCTGAAAGCAAACCTGTTGGACTCAGCAGTTAAAGGCAGAAGATACAGTAGCCTCTTACACGAGAGAAGCTGGGCTGCAGCTATGAGATATTTGTATAAACTATTATTCTGCTGACTCATTTATTGATGATTTGTTTGGTCTATAAAATGTAACAAAAGATGTCCCCATTAACCCATGGCCACATCTTCAAATGTCTTACTCCTCTATCCAACAGTCCAAAAACTCAACAATATTCAGATTACAATGATATGAAACCTAAAAAAGCAGCAAATCTTCAAAGCTGGAGCCAGGTTGCATTTTTAAATTATTACAAATAATTGACTGTTCATTTTCCATCTGGCAACTAAAAATGTCTGAAAAATAAAAACTGAGACGGTTTCAAGAGGGAGAGTTATTCTAGGGTCAGGGAGTAATACAAATGCACTTTTCACTGTGCTACTGGGAGAATCTCTCCTGTTTTTATTTGAGTAATAACAGTAAAACTTGCTTGTGGTGTTTCTTAAAAACATGGAAAGGGAACGCCATTAACAAAAACCCAACTTTACTCCGTTTATAGTTATATAAGACCTTAAAAAGCAGCAAATCCTTACATTAAAACAAACGGAATTCTTTATTCATTATAAATAAATTGGACTATTACGTTTGTGTTGGGCATCTAAAGAATTAATCAACTACTTGTTTATTCTCTAAAAATAAATAAAACCTTTATATTACAATCCTAAGAGTGGTTAAAGTTAGGGCTGCACGATTTGGGGAAATCATCGAATTGCGATTTTTCTGACAGATATTGCGATTGCGATTCGATTTGCGATATTTGTTTTTAAGCGACCCAACGGAAGTTTATTGTAAAATGCGGCCATATCTCCGCCTAGGAAGGTCGTATCAACGTGCTCCCGTCTCTAGCACCCCCGCAGCCCGAAGCTACGAGTGAAAGAACTAAACTTACATGAAACTTCCGTTGGGTTAAAGTCAAGCTTCAGTTTAAGATTCACCCTGTAATAGAAACATGTGATGGAGCATTACTAACCTGACTCAGATGTTTCACCAAACCATCTAGGAAAGCTCCATTGGAAGCCATTTGGAAAAGGGCAGGGACTTTCAAATATACTTGGCAGGTGATTGGATCAATCTGTCACCTTCTATCATGGGCCACTTCTGATTGGTTAACAATGGCTGGTACATGTGGAGCACAGCACTTCTGATTGGTGTGGATGACTGAAAAATAGTAACACTTAGAGAATCCCGTTGTGTGGTATTTCTTAAAAACACCCCGCCTGCAGACAAGGAAGAAACGCCATCAACATGTGTCCACAATATGATCCTACGGCTGCTAAACTACATGGATATATGAACTGTATACACAAACACTCTGGGCAGCCACAATGCGGCTAGTTTTACCTCTCACTGAGCTAAAGGAGTGACCATAACCTCAATGTCGAAAGCCCTCCAAACCCACAATCCTGGAAACTCTCCAAGCCCTGCTGAAGAGGTTCAGTCCACTTCACAGCCTTTCATCCTGTACAATGAGTGGGCTTGGCTGCAGACTATTTGGTCAAACAGCGTCCTATTGTCATGCTTCCCATCTGTATTTATGAAAGGTATTCTTGTGTGGATGTTAAACTAATAAAAAGTTGGAATCAAATAATGACAGAGCTCTGTTTATGCGACAGTAGCTCCCCCCTCCACTTCCTCTGAACACCCTGGGTTCTTCCGACTTGCCCCGGCACAAACACTACACATGCAATGTTCACTGAAAATGCATTTGTGACTAAATGACAGGACATCCTTTCAGCTGACCTGGGCCATTTAGAGGGCTGCGATCACTCCATATCCCTGAGGGAAGTATAGTGAACTTCATTACAAAAAATAAAGGGCACAACATGCAATGAACTCTAGCACACACGATGCACACACAATGCACACAAATATAAACTACAGGGGACTAGTTCTTTCATATTGGCAGATGATTTCAATCGTAGCCAACTGATAAGCAACAACATGCTGCACCTCATTAGAACTCCTGTATAAGGACCTGACTCTCCATATCATGCTTTTCTTATTAGTCAATTCTTCACGGGACAATTACAGGACGTTCAGGATAGTAACCATATTGTTCATCCATAATCTCAGTCATCATGATAAAGAGGAAAGAGTTATTTTTAAGTTTCAATTGAACATATTACTATGAATGAGGATGAGCTGAGGAGGGTAGAACAAAGATAGAAAACATGCATGAAAGAGTATTTATCCAGAAACCCATTCACATGCGTTTTATAATTAGATGACAACATAAAAGCAGCACATTCAATGAATTGGAACCAGGTTATGCTTGAATTGTTTCAACATTTTGAAAATAATTGACTACTGAGTTTTTGCGAGAAGAAGAAGAGTTATTTAAAGATTTAAAATGTTATGAGTGAGTGAAGTGCTGATGATGGTAGAATAGATATAGAAAATATGCATCATTCATAATACATGTTACTTTCTTGTTCAGTCCATATAAAACCAAGTAAGTATGTTAACTTTGTTGTTGATTCAGTACATTAAATCTAGTTTTTTTGGAGTGAACCCTTAACTGCGCAGTGATTTGTTGATCTGAGTGAAATGTGATTGAAATCTCTGGATTATACTTGGTCAGCAGCTGGAGGCTCGATCATTTACACTGATACTCAACCATCCATTACTACTTTTTCATATTACAACGTTGCTTCAACACATAAGAGCCTGAAGGTCTTAACAAACATGTTTTGGACATCGCTGTAATTCTTTTAGCACGTCATAGTGACTTATATGACTCTTACGTAACAGTTTTTAAAAAGGTCAACGACATGTGTCAACCTCTGTTCTAACCACAGCTCAATATTTATAACACCATGGCCTCTCACAACCTAAGGAAAGAGCCCCCCCCCCCCCCATCTCATAACGGAGGAGGCGGCGGCACTATCTGCATCACAGTTGCCACTGTTTAGAAGCACAACAGAGTTTTAAATTCTCTGCGATTATCTCTCTCTTATGAAGCACAATTTGTCCAATTTCTATCAAAGAAATGCAGCAAGCCGGCACCTTTAAGGAATAATGGGAACTAAAATCGTCTTATTGAATCAATCCTTTCTTATTTAAACTGAAAGTATTGCGATGGGTCTTTGAACCAAAAGGAACACAACAGATGAAGTTAGTTTTGAACATTAGGTTAGCAGCAGAAATATCAAACATATCACAACAGTCCTGCAGCAGATGTCTCCTTTAATATCATTAGTTTATCAGTGAAAACCAATGTTAGGTTGGTAATTTAACCAGCATGCACCGACTTATGATTCAAGAGGAGATATCAAATCAAATGTGTG